GGAGGCTGCGCCGCCGCGGCGGCCCCTGTCAGGGATGGTCCCGTCCTGCTTCACTTGGCCTGAGGCCTCTCTGCGCTGTGGGCTGCGCTCCGACTCCGCGTTCTTCACTAAGGTGTGGCCCTGACCAGGCGCTGTGTGCCTCGAGCGGCAGTTCCCGCCCTGGGTGTGCAGAGGTGTCTGCGCCGCGCTCTGCAGGGCGGCTTGTCCCTGAGGGGGGTGGGCTTGTGTGTGAGGGCTGAGGTGGCCCGCGGCGGTTGCTGCACTTCTCAGCTTGCTTCCTCTCCCGGGCTTCCAGTTTCCCTGGATCACTTCCCACTTATTAAACGGGTGGGCAGAGCCACAAAACCTTTTTTCTGATGATCAGGCTTCGCAGCGTGGCAAAATGTGGAATTTAAACATTCTCAGTACCTGTAGGTCTAGGTGATAGAAACTTTTTTGAAGTGTTACAAGAAAAGACGATCCCCTTCACAGCTCCACATACGGAAAAATGGACAGGGTAGTGAGGCTTGCAGCCTGAAGCAAGCAAAGCGTTCACAGCAGCATCTAGTCCCGTAACTAAAACTCTGAGCTCTATACACAGATACATAAAAATACTGAGATTATTCAGAATGATGTCCAAATCTTCCAACAAAGGAGCCTCTTTAGCTTGTTTGCAGGTCAGTTTTAAGGACAGTGCTTGATTTTGATGATGCCCTTTTTTGGTTTGTGTGTCTCAGAAGAGCAGCAAAGTTTCTGTCTCCTCAATGGGTCCACCCTGTGCCCAGTTCAGAGGTAGCCTTGTAAGGTATAATCTTACTTCAGCACTCAGGTATGGTAACAGTTCCATAGCCACATGATTAGAAGACTTATCCCAGATTGGGCACATGGCAGGTTAAATCCTCCCTCTTCAGTCTACATCTCTGTAAACTCTGCAGTGCCTGCTTTTTTTTTTGTAGGTTTGTTTTTGTTTTTAATGGTGCTACTTCCTACATGTGATCTTTCTTTCTACTTCCATGATACAAACATGAACATCAAGAAATGTTTTCTCACTGTGAGGTGACAGAACAGGGGAACAGGTTGCCCAGGCAGGTTGTGGAATCACCATCCTTCGAGATACTTAAAAGCCAGCTAGACATGGTTCTGGGCAACTGGCTCTAGGTGGCCCTGCTTGTGACCTTTGGAGGTACCTGCCAGTCCCAACCCTTCTGTGATTCTGTGAAATAGTCGGGGGTCAAAAGCACCACCTCCTAACCTGCAGTTAAGCTTTCCTTACGTGTCAGCATGGGAGTCCTCAGTTTGTCTCTCACTGCAGAAAATTTGCCATGTTTTATATTAAACATGTATAGTTATAGTTGTTGCCTAACCTGTATCTTGGTAGTTAGGAGCTCTCTTGTGAGTGGAAAGATTGGGCAGGACTCATGTCCTGAGGATGAGAAAATTAAATCTGGACTTTTGATATCTCTTAAACTGCTTTAGTCCTGGAGCTGCTGTAGAACAAATGGCACTATTTAGTGCTGCAATTCTAAGAAAGCAATAACTTGCACCACTTTTTTTTCCGGACTTGATCTGTAGGTGAAGTCTGCTTCCAGCTATGGTGCTTCAAAGATGAATACTAATACCTATTTCTGGGTCATGGTCAGGTATATAAATATTGAGCTGTTAAAGCCCTGTCAAGACTGAGGCATTTCTGGGTAGGTGCAGAAGTAGAACTTGACATGCCCCAAGTCTTAAGATCAAGTGTGCTGCTGACATTCAGGTGCTCCCAGAGTTAGCACGGCAGAGGGGAGCGGCAACTTTGAATTTTGAAGCCTGACTTGTATTAAAACCTCAATATTGAAACCTAAATCTTAATTTGAATCTAGCTCAAATTATTGTATAGTATTTCCAAAGCCACTGGGAAGGCCTTAAGCCAGATTTCTTGTATCTTGCACTTGATGCAGCAAACTGTCATTTCAAACAAGATAAAACCTTCAAGGAGAAGGAAGCTAGATAAACCACATTCTGAGGAGGTTTAATGCTCTTGTTGGCTAAAAGGGGAGCTTAAAAGGTGCTTGTGAGTAGTCTTGTTTTCCCGCTGCCAAACATTACTTGATGTGCGCGCTAAACAGCTCTGATAGACGTGCTTGGAAGCACAGCCTAACTTTGTAACCGTGAATTCCTTAAAGAATAAACCTAATAAACCGCGATTCAGAAACACAAACAAGATGCTACTGACAAAAAAATTAAGACAGAATTTTTCCATTAGAAGCTGAAGTTTTATTACAGGATAACAGTACATAAAGCACATCTAAAATCGATGTGTTCAATGCACTTAATAAAGGTAATGTAATATTAAAGGTACAGTTTCTAAGTACAATATAACAACATTCATATTAGAATGAAAATTGGAGTATTTAAAAGACAACATTAAATCTCTTATTTTTACAGTCATATTTACAAAATGAATCAAAATACTTTTTTCGGGACTGAGTAAAATAACAAACTTGAATATAAGCAGGCTATTGTAAGAGTGAGTTGGAAGGGTCCATGAAAGTGAAAAGTTAAGTGATTGGGTAAAGATCATTAGCAAAGGTTTAGTACAATACCACTTTAGTATTTCCTCTTGATGGCTTACTTTTTCTTGTGGCTAGGAAAGGAATTTGTACATACTGTACACGTAACAGCATGTATGTACGTGTACGGTATAATTGCATTTAAACTTGTGTGTATTTACAGAACTTTGAGCATATCACTCAACGAGGTTTTTGAAGTCTATGTGCTTAATCTTCAAACTGATGTCTATCTGTAATCAGCATTTATTCTGGTATTGTTACGCTGAACATTTAGTAAACGGGGAGAATTCAGGTTAACCACATGGTTTTGCATAAATATAACCAAACTATTAAAACAACAGGGAGAACATGTTCCTAGCATTATGTATAGGTTAGTACGTACAAATTTTAGAGCAACTCCTTTTCTCTTGGAAAATATCAAAAGGTGACATAAATCAACACGGGAAAATAAAATTGTCATGGCTTATATTTAAATAAGATTGTAGCTTCAAGAGGTTTTTATAATTGTCCTGATAGTGTTTGCAATTAAACATTCCACTTATGAAAATATACCCACGGTGCAGTAAAGTTTGTATTTATTTTTAGGACAACAGTATGTTTGCTGTTTAAAAAAAATTATTTATATATATATATTCCTTGGATTGAGGGTATAAAAGCAGTGCATGGAAGCCAAGAACCATGGCTTTAAAATTCACTACCTTCTATTATCAAAAAGTGCAGTAAACAGAAACACTGTATTTAATAAATTGCTCAAAAATCTTTGCTAAAGATCTTATAAATTCAGTAATATTACAGAAAAATTCTAATAAATATTTAAAAGGTTAATTACCTCCTTTGTTAGATATTTGATATCCATCAGTTTTTAAGAATTAACATGAAAACAGTATCTAGAATGAAAGGAACAGGGGACAGGAATACTTTGAAGGGTACATGACTACGTAAATTAAGGTATACATGAGAAATAAAAACAAAACCCCCAGACCTGACAAAACATTGCAAATTCCACTTCTTAATTAACTTTAGTTGCTAATGGCAGTCTCTGGATATGTATGCATGATTTATAAAGCATATCCAAGGACTGAATTTAGGCATCCATCTATCATGGAAGATTTACAGAAAATTCCTATTTACAGTAACTGGAGTTAACTGTGTAGGCGTGGCCTAGTAACATCCACAGTTTGAGTGTGTACAGATCCTATATTTAAAGTGAAGAGGGAGGAAGGCACCCGGCAGAACAACACCTATAAATATCAGATGCAATGACGGGATAGAACTCTCCCAACAAGCCACGTAGCTACCTCCCTTTCAGACAGACAACTTATTGTAATTGACTTTATATGGGCAGATTAGATGTTTTTCTTTTTTATGATACAATACAGGCAGACCGTTTTAGTAACCAAAAGGATAACAAGCTGGACACAACATTTTTAATAACATTAATAATGTTAATAATGTAGAAAAAAAATTTCTACATTTGATATCAAGTATCTGTACTGGCGAAGTAATTTTCTCCTTATTAAATATACTATAGAATAATTTATATAATGACACTATGCATTTAAAGAGCAAACCATGTCCCAAATCTTGTACTCTGATACAGGTACTTGTTGGGCATATGTTGGTGTGTGTATATATATATATACACAAATATATATATATTTATATATAGTTATACTCAGTGAAATTAACAAGACCCAAAGGTGGTATTGTCTAGGAATAAAAGGGGTTTGTTTGCTTTTGTTCACAAAAGTAACTTATCTAGCACCACACATCAGAAAAACACAAAAATAGCACACTCTAGTTCTAAACAGCTATGTCTAAAATAGATTATATAGTAAAACAGATATTATACAGCATAATGTGGTATTTGATAAACAGATAAATATTTGCACTGTGTAGGCTGTTTATAGTATAACTTTATCTATACAGAATGAAAGCAAAAGTTAACTGTATAGAGGTGAGCAGAACAACATTAAATATTATGACTCCAAAGCAGAGACAAAGTTAGAGTTGAAAGAATAGAGCAAGATAAAATGTTTACAGGCCATTACAAGTCCTTAAATTAGTAGTAAAATAAGGAATCAGTTGCTCAAGTTTAAGAAAGCAGTAAACAAGAGATTGCATTTACATGCAGATGTCTAAAACTTGTATTACTTTTAAATCTATGCACAAAAAGTAATTTGTTTTTATTGCTTGACATTCAGTTATGGCTAGAGTATTTTTAACCTTTTTTTTTTTACTTTGGAAACAAGAATATTGTTAAAGGTGCCATAAAAATGGACAACATTGAAAACAGTTTGCAAATAAACCACCTAACGCTGCAGTTCTTTATACATTTTAAAAAGCCTTGTCTGGGGTTTGTCATATGTTAAATATATTTAATCTGGGAAAATACATTGTCGCTTGAAGCCTCCCATTGGCCCAAACATCCAATACAAAAACACATCTCCAGAAAAGGAGCAGGCAGACAATACAGTTACAGATAAAGAAGCAGCCAGTTAATGTCCTAATAGTTCAAATATTCACCACTGTTCTGTAACTTGTTTCTAAATCAGCGTAGAAATGAGGAACGTTTTGGATTTAGAAAGGCGTACAGTACATATGCATTTTTTGTGAAATAAAATTCACTGTATTGCTTATGAATTCTCTGCATCAGATATAGATCGCATTACAGATCGCAAGTTCCTGTAAAGTTTGTGCATCTACATTAAGACTTTGTCGGGTAATTTAGGGTAGTGTTTCTCAAACTGAAAGTCACAACCATTTGAAAGTTGCCAAAGCGTTTGGATTTTTATCAAAACACTCTTGTCAGGCAAACGTAGCCTGGTTCTACGTGAAGAGTGGTAGCTCAGTTCTCCAGTGCACACTATGTGGTTCTGCTGGCCAGGGAACTCGTCCCACTTCCTGGATGCAGCTCAGCCTCCTCAGTGTGGAGGAGCTGGGAGAGCTGGCTCTTGGCTGCAAGCATTTGCAGTAGACATGGAGCTAGTAAGTGCTAGCAGCAGCTCAGTTCCTTCAGTTGGGAAATGCCACCAGTAATTACAGCTGGTTCGCACTCCCTGCCCCAGAAAAAGTAATTCCAACACAGAGAGCCCTATGAAGAAATACAGCCCAGAGGGATTGTGCTTTCAGAAAGCTTGAGAAACACTGACTCGTAGGAAAGCAAGTATACAAAGGACATATGAACACCAAAAACATGCGGATGTTAACAAAAAGGTGTGGTATCACACATCAAGTTGAACAACTCGATTGTGAAGTTCAGCTTGAAGAAGTAAGGAGATTATGAGGGAAGACATAAAAGTGAATCTTGTGCCAGAAGAAATGAACCTATGAG